CGAACACTTCTAAGAATTTTTATCAAATTTATTATGCCCGTTATGTAAAACATTTTAATATTTCATTAACAGTAATGAAATCTGACTATCGTGATTATATTAGTCAAATTTGAACGATATTTAAAAATATGTGTAGGAATTGCGGAATATTTAATACAAATATATATGTATTAAATTACTATTCAATTATAATGAAGTTAAATTAGTAAATTTAATTATTAAACTATTTAAACACAAATCATCTTTTTTCCATTACTGTATGTGTAATCTTTAAATATCTATTTGCTATGTAATTTTTAAGTACCTAGTTTTAGAGTAGTTTCAAATTTTAACAATACAATCACAATAGTCGTTTCTCATTGCAATGTGAAATAAAATTTCAAGATATTTCGTGTACACAAGCACAATATTTTCTTTGAAAATATGAAAGTTCCTCGCTATAGTAAGCTTTCGCGAACCACTGTGTATTCAGTTTTCTGCAATAAAGAATATCGATTAACGATTAATCAACTTCCACAAAGAAGTTTCTTTTTTTCTACTTTGAGAAAAAAAAAAAAAGGAATGAAAAATGATACTGCAGAGGGACATTCGATCGATGCTGACGGAAGACGAATGCACGTTTTCGTCTAAGAAGTATAAACAGGTTTTACGAATTCGCGGTGATTAAAGCTTGACGAAATGGTTAAATCGATCGAACACGTGACGAGTCGAATATTTACCGTGACACAGCGATTTCTTCGTAACTGTTTAAAGCTGATCTACAGTGAATTAGAAGAGAACCATTAGTATTTCGTCTAGTTGCCAAGATATTTGTGCTTGGTGGAGAAATATGAGTCATCTCGACGAACGAAACGTCGAGGACTTTTGACGGATTGGGATTGAGCGTGTTCCAGTTTTGCATCGAAAGAGGAAAGAATTAGTAAAAAATGTGAGGAATCTCATTGCGAACTTCTCTGAAATTAAACGTCGAAATTAAGTCAGGGTTGTTTTACGAAATTTCAAGCGAAACGCAATTCTCACTATGCTCAGTGATTTCGATCTCCTTCAGATTATGTTCATAATCACAATTCTGTTAAATTCTGTGAATACAATATGATGAGTTTCTACCCATTTTTAGATATTTTAGAATGTTTGTTGAATTTTATCAATCTAATAATCTGATCGTTAATCATTAATAATCGAAATAACTGCCACTGCAATATGACGAATCTCCATTTTCAGATATTTTATACTTCAGATAGAATTAGAATAGAATTTTATTCTTCCATATATCTGAGTTTTGTAACAATCAATCAATAATTTTTTAAAATATAATAAAGTTATTGATTTTTCAAAATAACCACCTACCGTATATTCAATTTTATTCTTTTAAATTAACAGGCATTTATTCTTTTAAATTAACAAAAACATCTAAATATCAATTTTTTTTTTTTTTATATTCAAGCTTGAAATATTGATATTGATGCACATTTTCTTCTAATACATTAATCCCGAGTCGATCATTGTAGAGAATTTTGTTTCTCATCAAATCAATCGACACTGGCAAGTTCTAGCGTAAACGTTCTATCAAAAGCAAATAAAAGTCTGGCTCCTATATTTATCTAATGTCGATAAAAGTTCAGCGGTTAGTCATCCGATGTCCGTTCAGATTCCAATCAATTCGGTTTGTATAAGATGCGTTGGAAAGACTAACATATAAACAAATGAACGCAGCAAAGTAGAAAATTTGAGAAGCTATCGTGATTGTTGAACGAACCAAATTATTTATATTATAGGTACAATCAAAGTGTTACAAATTGTTGTATAGTTTCTACATTTCGAAATCACGCGAATTTAAATCATTTATTGAATTTAATTTATATTTCATCAATCACCGAATTTGTCAATATCATTAACTTTCTACAATCTAAATTTCTTATAGTTTTTCCTATTACATTATTTACTATTAGTAATAATAATAGCACGGAATGCTAATAAAAAGTACTGCCGATTTTCATGCATTTACAGAAAATTTAAAAATGCAAAAATGCAATGAGAATACACAGAATATACAAAAGTATAACGTCAAAATTAGAATACTTTTGTGTACAATTTCATACTTTTGTGAACACAATTAAAGAAATAGGATCTAAATAGAAACTCTTTCATTTATTATAATAAGTGTTTTATTTATATATCTTTGCACATTATATGCATTGTGTAGATTCTTGGAATCTTAAATTTCCCAAAAATTCATAAATATCCGCAATATCTTAGACCTCATTTCTTTAATCATTATATTCACTAAAATACGAAATTACATAAAGATCCGCAGACTATTTAATCTTGACATCTTTATTTACTCGATCATTTCGACGAACCAGAACATTCACTTACACAGCCTAATTTCAGTAATTACGACCGGCGACCACTATACTTAACAAATTCAATGATTTCATCCGGGGTAGCTTTGTGTCTTTTAATGAGACAAAGACAGATTTTAAATTACCCACACATTTTCGAAATTCTTCATACGTGAAACTCGTTTTCGCAAGGGACTTGCAATCCACTTGTGAGAGAGAAAGATTCGCGGAATGTTCAACTTCATTTCTTACATTCATAATCGTCGTTAGAATGCCTTAATTTTGACGAAGTATGACTGCAGTGTGGCAAATATCATGGCCACGATGTGAAATTTTTTATCGAGTCAAAAAATGCAGAAGATGGATATATTTCTTGATATAGTGCTTGAGAAAACGTTATTGATCGTTCGTTTTCGATAATCACAGTAACTCCACAAAATAATTCAATTGCGCTTATGAATGAGTTATTGATTAGCAACTGAATTGAAAAAAAAGCAATTGAATTGTTTTATGTAATTCAATTGACACAGCTCTGCCTTCGAAGTATAGTGAAATAAAATACTGTTGCATTTTGATTGAAATACGCGAGAATATAAAAACTGGGGAACGTGAAAGAGCTCAATTCTTCTTTCGTATATATATTGGAACACGGTAGAACTCCGCTTCGTGAACTTGTCAAGAGATAATAATCTCCTCTTTCGATTGTGGAATGGAGTTCGGGTTATAATAACTGGATTCAACCAAGAAGAATCAAGATTTCAAACAAGTACAATAAACATAATTTATAATTCAAATAAATGGAGTTCCACTGTACCACAGTGTTTCTCGAATTTCTCGGATATTTATGTTTGATCGACAACTATCGCTAGGGACAAAAGTAGAATGCGATTTTCCTTCAATGGAGCGGTGGAAAAAAAAATGATCATAGCACTCAAAGAGAAGCGCGCGAAGACATTCGTGGAATATAAAACGATGGAAACACGATCGACGACTTCCGTGTAATTATTCGAGGAAGTGATTCGCTGTATTTTTTACGGCCAGCCGTAAAGATCGTTCTTGGTTGGTGCGAACCAAGTTGGCAAGCCAAATTCTTCGAGGCATCGTTACGGAAAAAAATAACTCGACGACGCTTGGTCCCATACGATCGTGACGATTTACGAATGCCTTCCCTAGGGAGAACTGCATTTTCCTCGAATCGCGCGTCACCCTCCGTACACAAACACATTCGTCGATCGTTTCGAAAACGAGATTTGGTGTCTGGAGATACGTGCGTGATATTTGGCTGCGCGTTTGTGAGTTTACTATCGTTTCGTGTTTGATAGGTATCGGCATCCACTGAAATATTGCGCTTCAAGGACGATGGATAAATTCGCGCCGATGACGTTCGCGCCTGCAAAATTCTTCGCTTATGAGTTCCGTTCCTAAAAGGACCGCGTCTAGAAATGAGTATCTGTTAACAGAAGTTAAAACTCCGAAGCGACGAGATAAACCAAAAGGCAACTCGATCTTTTCTTATGCGAATTATTAATAGAGATTAATGATCATGAAAATGAATATTGCGGGATTTTATGTATTTATAGAAAATTTGTAGATACAAATATAGAAATATAGAAATAATCCAAAGTATAATACACAATATACTCTACACGGTTGAAATTCATTTGTGTTATACGAGAAAATATTTCAAACAGAAATAGTAATTAAAAGGTTTCGAACGATGCATAATCGTGACAAATGATGGCGTTTGAAATGTTGTAAAGTTATCTCTATTTTGTCAAATAGATTTACTACTACGTATTTATTGATAAAATAATTATATGTGTTGTTAACAGATACTCTTGTTTCCGAGTGGTTAAAATTTTTATTGCGATTTAGATGTGTAATATAATATATTATATTTAGATTTAATATATTTAACATAAAAAACGGGAAAATAATATAATAAAATATATATTTCATTTCTATATTATATTATTATTATTATATCATTTTAAATATATATATATATATATTTATTTATTTATTTATTCTATTGCATCTTTTAATTAATTAAACGACAAGGAAGGAAACCGTTCAGAAAAATTTGTGAAAGCAGTAACAACTATCGAACTAGTTAAAACGACGAATTACAAACAGATTCGCATATAATTTACGAATGCGTTCGAAATTGATAAACTCCCAGTTTAAAGTTCCACGTATTTTAAACGATCGAAGTTTACGTTTACGTCTCTATAAAAGCAGAATTACTGTTCGTGGTGAGCGATTTCGCGGTTTTTAATAAAACGCATTTTTGTTTCACGCACGCGAGACGATTTTATCAACAAACGAATCTCGACATGGAAGACACGTCTTCGTAATTTATAGTAGCAAGGCGAAACACGGACTTTCGAGTGCGTATTTCACAAATTCATCCGCACATTCTGGGGCAAATGTTTTCGTCGCCGCGATATATATTTTCGGGATGATACTCGCGTGTTTAGGACTTAATGCGCCAATGTTACAAAATCAGCGTATCACATCCGTGCGGGAATATCAACGAACAAATATATGTAATTTTTTATTCAACACTTTCACGACATACGTTGCCTAAATATTAATATAAATAAGTAAAACCAATAAAATCCGAAGATACATAAAATTTAAATTAATGTAGAAAGTTTCTTTACCTAGTAAATACTAATGTATGCTAAGTACTCGATTTCGGATACTTTATATATCTTTACATATTACGCGTGTCCTGTATATCCTTTGCACCCTCAAATTTCGTATAATTATCCGCAGTATGACGATAACTTTTCCTATAATTTTTATATAAATAATGTTTCTTATACAGAATGGCCACTGTCGTCTGGAGGGATTATAAAATACTTTGGGCTTGAGTTTTCCTTTAATCAATATTTAACTCAGTGAGAGGACAGTTAATTTGTCTTTATAGACAAAAATATAGTAACAAGCTTTCTTCGACGTAATTGCGACGAGGGAAGGTATTTTAATTTATTTCAGAACAAAGCCTTTGTTAAGCAATAAAAAGAGAAATTGCTTTTCAATTTGTTGCCAGATGGAAAAATGAATTTCCTGTCGCTGCTCCTTTTATTTTTGTCACGTTGTTTTAGCCAGCTCAGCGTTTCAATCTGTACAGAATTCTTTCAGTGCTACTTTTGTTCCACATTTTTCAATGATTCACTGTTACAACTATAGCTAAGGAAACAAGAAAATATTTAACAAATGTAATTTAATCACGCACATAATATGGAGAGATTCGAAGTCTAGAAAAACGTTTTAGAACTAACAATTTTATCAAAAATTTTTCTTTTATCTTTGACAAAAATTCTTTGACAATAAAAGAATATATGTGACACATCCTTACAAATATCCTACATCGAGCTAAAATTTCTACGTTTCAAAAAGAAATGAAGAAAGATTTATACAATTTCCAACTTAACACTATTACGTTTCATATTCCAAACATTTTTCAATCTTCGGTAAAAAACGAAAAAAAAAAATCTTCAAAAAAAAAAACAAAAAAATAAAGAAATAATGGAACAAATTCGATCAAAAAATAATAAACTAAAATTATTTCCATCAACTTACGCAACCTTACGAATTCTTATGTGAGTTTTTTCATGTCGAATTAAATTGCACGTGCAAATCACATTTTGAACATCTTCCAATCTCCAGTGGAAAATAAAAAAAAAAAAAGAGGGAAAAGATCAAAGCAACAATAGGTTCAATTCGATCAAGGAATGATAAACTAAAATTGTTTCCACTGACTTACTGTAATCCTACAACTCTTTGTAATTTTTTCTGACTCAAATTCAATAAAATTCAAATAAAATCGTTTTGTATAATTTCTAGCTACTCTGTTTCCGATTTAGATATTATTTCTTCCAGTCTTGGGTAAAAGAAAAAGTGAAAACCAAAGGAACAATGGAATCGATTCGATCAGAGAAGGATAAACCTAACCAAAATACTTTATGATCGTATGAAAATTTTTTCACGCTGAATAAAATTCGAGTAAAGTCGACTTATACAATTTCTGTCCACACTCACGTGTGCAATTCATATTTTAAACATCTTTTAATCGATAAAAACAAAAAAAATAAAAATAATAAAGATAAAAGAACGAAAGAAGAAAAATGCGAGATCGATTTGGTCAAAGAATGAGAAGCCAAAATTTTTAAACAACCCTACGATCTTATATAAATTTTTACACGTCAATGCACGACGTCAAATAAAATTCAAATAAAGTCGAATGACGCAGGTTGCTCGAACCTTTCGACGCAGAAACAGCTTCGTCTTCCGTTTTCTTAAACAAACGCGTGGTCATCGGCACATCCTCTACCACGAACGATTTTACTCTCATGAATGAGCCACCGATTTTCCGAGCGTAAAAAGATTTTGTGAAAGAGGGGAGGGGAGCGTTTTAACCCGCTAACCAGCCTGGTGAACGCTCGTCCGCAGACATTAGTTCCTCACTGTCGTTCATCCCGTTTCGAGGATTCGACGCGTTTGTGTGTCTGACCAACGTTTAACTAAAAGTTCCTTCTCTGTTTCGTTTGTTGTTTTCGTTAGTCGAGGAAATTAGTTGGAAAATTAACTAAAATTGATTAAAATTGAATAATTATTACGATAATAATAATTATTAAAATTAATTAAGGAAACTTATTGTTCGTCAACGCTGGAAGATATTTTGTCTATGTGTCTGCATTTCGTTTATCTTCAGAAGCTTCTCTATTTCATTTGTTTCTAATCGAGGGAATTTTAGAAGTTAGAAAACTGAGTAGTGAAATTAATTAAAAGTAGCAGTCGTTGGATATAATCTTCATTAACATAACTGGAAAGATATTTTGTTTTGTAATTGTATAGTAATTCTGATACTGTCTCGTTTGATTCCTTCATTTGGAAGTAGCAATAGTGTTTGGTAGAGGAGTTAAGAATGTCTCTAATGTGGATGAGTTACATGAAGAACAAGACCAAGAAGAAGCACGTTCGTAGACGACGAGTAAGTGACAAGTAGAATTACCTGGTGATTTATATAAAATTGTCTTATGAACTTTATCTGTTTATTTCTCTTATGCCAAGTTTAACATAGTTATTTAGCACTGCAACATTTCATTAATAATTTTTTTTATCAATCAATTGACGTTATCAAATTCCAATTTTTTTTTTAAATGTAATAATAAATTCCCAAGATTCTTTTATCGCTATTTCGTCGAAACGTAGATTTTAGAATTTTACGAAAACTAAAAGAAGTTGTATCTGTAACATTACGATAAAATATTGCGTAGTCCTTAATGGGTTAATGTAGAATTTTCTTTGCTTCAGTTTTTTATTTTACGATAAATTAATTTGTAAATATTTCAAATGATGATGGAATAATGTTATGAATATTATCGTATTAACATTTATCGCAGGCAGAAGGAAATGGAAGATTATATTATTTACACAATTTATGAGACTTATGAGAATAGTATGTTATACTTAGCGATAAAAATAGTGATAGACGTAAAGAACAATCTTCGAGGCAGACATTACAATGAAGAAACATGTATTTTTAGATTAGAAATGGCATGTTCCAGTATTTGAAATATTTTAGATATATATACTCGCTAATATAATATCAGAAATAATATATGATTATTATTTCGATGCATATAGTACATATTAAATTTACTACTAACTATCAACCATTAGATGATTGATTTTATTATTAATCGCCACAAATAATCAGACAATTAAATTAATATTTAAAAGTGTCCTGGAACATGCATTTAAACATTCTTTATTCCATCTAGACAATTTGTTTAATGTATAAATTAATTGAAAGAGACTGCAAGTGAACAATACCGTAGCAGCTTCGTCCCAAGAGTTTTTAAATTGATAATTCTTTGACAAATTTGAAATTTTTTAATGGAAAAAAGTAGAGCCAAAAAATGAGTAAAAAGCAAAACGCGATCAAGAAAGAATGCTGTTACGTGAAATTTCGATTTCACTGGAAATTCATTTGAAATCCATTCTCCCTGATTGCTCGAGCCAGAGCGTGTGACGCATTTATATTTTCGAGGAGGGTTGCACGTTTCAGCGAGACAAAACGGGACATCAGCCCTTCGACGAATGAACGACGAAAGACAAAGGGCAACAGGGAGTCGTCGATTCTCACCCGCGCATCATTCTTCTTTCACACTGGCTCGCCTCGTCGTACAAATTTTTCTCGTTAAACGTGCTTAAGCAGCCTGCTGCTGGCCAACGAACATCGGTTTGAGTTATTTCCAGCAATCCATTAATTCCTGTCGTTACTTGAACACACGAAATGAAAATTCTACCAGACCGCGAACGAAACTTTGACATTCTGTCGCGACTCGTCAACGTTCGAAGTGGAAAAGAAATAACACGAGAGGTGAAGAAATTTCTTCCTCAATTGCTTCCGTCTTCTTCTTAATCAATCGCGAGATTATCTTTGTCTTTAGTTTTTCCCTTCTTCTTTCGCTTGAAAGAGAAAGGAAGGGGAAATAATTAATTGTAAGTAGACTGCAGATTTTTATTGCAAATTCATATTTCTAAGGATATAATTAAAGATATGTCGAAATTATATAGTCGAAACGTCGTAAAAAGTACGCTGTACTTTGGATATTTTACATATTTTTTTTTTTATATTGCCTGCATCGTGTGCAATTTTTTCGCAATCATTAATCATAAAATTATCTCTGAATATCTCCTTTCTTTTCTCTGGAGCAAGAAGAAGAATAGAATCAATTACGAGATTATCTTTGAAAGTCTTCTTTATTCTCTCTCTCTCTCTCTCTCTCTCTTCGTTGAGAAGAAAAAGAAAAGGAAACGATTTCTTGAGGGACAGGTGTGGTTTGCGCGCTCCTCGATCTGACCGTTTATAAATATAACCATAGCTTAGAGACTGAATACACATATGTGTGTACACATGCGTATGCACGCACCTCTGGTCAGAACGCTCGAATGCAGATTAGAAACTATACACTTTTCACTTCTCTGTTTGAAGAAGAATTTAATGTGTTTGTTTGCCGTTTGAATGATTATTTAAATGTTGAAAAGATTCGACTTGATTATTTGTGGAAGAGTCAGCTTGCTGAACTGATCCAAGTCAACAAGTGGTCAATGATCAGTTCAGTTGATTTGGATGGAAAAGTCTTCTTACGTGGTACGATATGAATAGTGATTAATTTCATACGTGACGTTCGATCGTGTTATAGATGAGAGACGACCGAAGGACATCAATGGAAGGCGAGAGACTTAGCAACAACAGCGGAGGAATAATCGACGGAAACGGAAGTCGTCCTCTTTCACAAACCTCCAGCGAAATGGACACTCTCGGACCATTGCAACCGGTCAAACATCGTGAAAAGGCAAAACTGCAGGTACATAATATATTATGTATAGTCAAATTTCTCCAATAATTCTGAGATAACGGACAATTTTATAAATACTCGATTT